GGGGGCGCGTTGCGCAGCTGCTCTTGCGCACGAGCCCGGCCGCGCCGCCGCGCCAGCCCGCACTGGCCTCGGAGTGCGAGAGCTCGTCGGTGCAGGGCGCCGGGCGCGGAGCGAGGGGGAGCAGGAAGCGCAGGCCACGCCGAGCCCAACTGAAACAAAGTGTCGGCTGCCCGGCGGAGCCGCCCGTCGCCGGTCCCGGACCCTCGTCCCCCCGTCCGCTCCGCCTGGGGCCACCCGCCAGCCGGCCGCCCGCCCACCATGGCTTCTGAGGAGCTGTACGAGGTACATCCCCCTCCCCCTCCGCGGACCCCCGCACGTCGCGCAGCCCCTCCCCGACCGCGGGCACGGTCTCCAGCCCGACGGTCCGGCGCGCCGCCGCCGCCCCTCCCCCCGCGGCTGCAGTTTGCTAGACGGAAATGTGTGCGCGGAGACGCGGGCGGAGCGCGGGGCTGGCCTGAGCCACGCGCTCCGGGGAGCCGGCGGGCGCGCAGGGTGCGGTGGGGGCGCGGGCGAGGAGCTCCGCCGAGTTGTGGGACTCAGGGTGGGGGGGCTCCGGCTGTGGGGAAGTAGCGCTGACACAGTGACTTGCTTCGACTGTGCCCGAAGTGCTTTTGGTTTGGGTCTTGGGAGTGAGGCCCCTGGGGGGCCTGGCGGGGTCTGTGGGCGGTGTGGGGGGTGTTTTCCTGTCTATTTAATGAAGTATTCTGTAGAGGGTTTTGCTTCTTATGGGGGTGGGGGACGCGAGGACGAGTGCAACTGTCTCTTGACTCTGCTTGCTAGCCAAAGTGATGCAGAATATCGCACCGAAAACGCTAAACGTTGACCACATGCTTTAATTAGGTTAGCATTGTGGCCAGAGCCAGGAAATTTAAATTTAACGCTGATACACTGTCATTCATTAGCGCCGCAGCGTTGCAAGTGAGAAAGGGCACTATCAGAGCTGTTCAAGTTGTGGGCGATGGGTTCGCCTGCTTCAACTTCAAGCTTTGGGGTTGTCAGTTTGGGTCTTTAGTCCTATATTTATGTCTCGATGTAACTTCTTGACGAGTTTCAAAGTAGGCTTCCTGGGATAACAACGCAAGCTTCGTAGGCTATCTTTCTGCCTTTTTGAATAAACGGTTCTTCTGTTTCACGTATATTTATAAATACATCTTCAGAAGAGACTTAAAACTTCTGGATACACTCTAGACTTACCTTTGTGATGTGTTTGGGATCCTGGTGTTTAGGGACGTAAGTAAGCGTCTGTAACAAGTAGCCTTGGCCCTTGTGAACTCTTAAGTACCAGGTGATCCTTCTGAGGTGTTTTCTCTTTTGGGTGTATTATTGCTGTGGGTGTACAACGGAACTCTATTGCCAACAATTACAGTCTTCCAGCAACTTTTTGTTGCTTTTAAAAGCAAGTGTTTGCAAAAGTTCTCAGGAGGATACTGCCTTTTGTAGAATTAATGGTAAGTTATTGCTTCCCTTTACGTTGCATGTGGTCAGTGTACCTTGCCTGGCACTGAAAACATTCCATTCTGCTCAACTATTTTACATATTAGCTACGTCCTACTGTATTTGGCGCTGTGGTTAAGAGCTCGGCTGCTAACCAGAAGGTTGGCAGTTTGGATCCACCGGCCGCTCTTTGGAAAGCCTATGGGGCAATTCTGTTCTGTCCTATAGGGTTGATACGAGTTGGAATCGACTTGACGGCAATGGGTTACAGTATTTAAGATACTGTATTAGGTTATCTGGGATGGAAAGGAAAAAAAAATCCATTTTCAGGGAGTTTCTCTTGTGGAAAGGAAAATATCCTGTGGGGAAAGCCCAGAGGTAGAGGCTAAGATGCATAAAATCTTCCAGACAAAGATATATAGTTGGGAAAATACAAAGCATGAGTGTATAAAGGAATTTAGTTTCTACATTAGATTATTATTTGGTAGTTTAATCTTTTGAGTATTTGCTCTTGTGTTTGCTTCTGTGATTATAAGTATATAATCAATTAACACATGAGATTTGTGTTTGGATGAGAGTAGCACCTTATACATAGGTTGTATCCTACATGTATAAAAATGATTTTGAAGACAACATACTTATCACCAGTGCGTTATGAATTAAATTTAGGCCACTTCTTTCTTTTCTTATTCTAGATCTTCAGGTTTTCTATTCGCTACTTTCCTGGAAGAATTTATTTATAAGTAACATTTTGTACTAAGTTTGTATTCATTCACCATGTTTATTGAATGCCTGCCATGTGGAGGTTCCATAGGGAGATATGGAGGTATGAGAGTGGTTCATGCCCTCAAGAAATGTCTAAACTCAAAAAACCCGTTGCCATCGAGTCCATTCTGACTCATAACAACCCTATAGGACAGAGTAGAACTGCCTCATAGGGTTTCCAAGGAGCGGCTGGTAGGTTCAAACTATTGACCTTTTGGCTAACAGCTGTAGCACTTAACCACTGCGCCACCCGGGCTCCTGTCTAGTGGAGAAGAAGTAAGTACATTGCAAAAAAAAAAGGACATCTGCACAATTGACTTTTGATTCTGGGTTTTGTTTTAGTTGGTTTTGAAAAACAGTGTTATGAAAGTATCGTTGAGGTGATAGTAAATAGTAAATAACATAGTCATTGTTTTTCAGGGTAAGTTTTCTAATATTTTTTGAATACAACACTGTGACTATATTATGATTAAAAGTTGGTATTTAAAAGTTTTGCATAGTGGTTAAGAGCCTGTATTTGGAGTAGGACAACCTAGTTTTTGAATTCCAACTCTGTCATCTTGGGTAAATTACCCTGAAAGCTCAGTTTCCCCATCTGTAGAATTGAGTTAATTGCTTACCTCGTAGAGCTGTGAAGTTTAAATGAGAAAATATGTAAAGCATACAATTCCTATAGCAAGCACTCAGTAAATGATAGTTATTATTGTATTTTAACTGATCTAAAAGGTCTCCCTGAGGCCTGGTTTTATCTAAAGATACAGAATTGTATCGTTTTAATCAAAACAGTATTTGCAAGGCAGAAATGATGTGCTATTGTAAATGAACATTAGAGTGTGAAACAGCTGCTTGCTAAGGCTAGGAAGAACACTAAGGTGCTTTAGCTTAGTGGCAGATCGGGGGACATTAGTTGCATTGTTTTGTCCAGCTCTGCCTAAATCTAGATAGAAGTTTCATCATGTTTAACCTCAAGCCCCAAAATTCTACAGGAATAGTTTAACAACCGAGGTGGTTCGAAGTTCTTACTGCTTTGAAGTAACATGGTATGGATCTGCATTAGCTAAGTGAAGTTGGACAAGTTGCTTAGCTGCTAAGGCTTTGTTTTCTCACCTAAAAAAAAAAAAAGATCTCTAACACTTCACATGGTCTTGGTGTACAGTAATAGGTGCTTAATAAATGTTTACATGGTTATTGAAACTATGCCTTGTGAATTAAAAAAAAAAAAAAAGGAAACAGCCTGGAGAAGATGGGTGGAGCATCTTCCCTCCAAAATTTAGGGAGCTGCAGCAGCTAACAACTTTTATATGAAGGATAGAATAGATTTACTCACTGCAGCTCCAGCAGCTAGGAATAGGAAAAGACGGATTTTGACTCAGCATAGGTGAGAACTTCATAGCTTTCCCAAAAAGACAAGCATCTTTTAGATTGGGGGTTGACAGACTTTATGTGAAGGGCCAGATGTTAAGTATTTTAGCTTTGTGGGCCATATAGTCTCTTGCAACTACTCATCTCTGCTGTTCCAGTGCAAAAGGCACCATAGACAATATGTACATGCATTAGTGTGGCGGTGTTCCCATAAAACTGTTTATGGACAGTAAAATTGGAATTTCCTATTATTTTTGTGTGTCATAAAATTTTTTTTTTTTCTTCAGTCATTTAAAAATGTAAAAACCTTTCTTAGCTCCTGTGTTCTATAAAAACAGGTAGTGGGCTAGATTCGGCCTACAGACCAGAGTTTGCTAAGCCCCGCCTTAGATGATCAACTATTATAGTCTCTTCTGGAACTGAGGTTTACGCTGGGAGTAGAGGTATGTGTAGAGTGCAAAGTAATTAATGGCCTTCTGTCTCCAATCCTGGCTTTAGTTCTGAATTCCACTCTTCCCTTCCACTTGATAGCTGTGTGCCTTGTTAAGTCATTATCTCTCCTGAACTTTCTCCTGATCAGTAAAATAGGGATAATGATAACTACTTTAAAGAATTGAAGGATTAAATGACATTTGTATGTAAAAACAATCTGTAGCTGATAAAATGGTGTATCTAAGTGTTAAGCAATTATTACATTATTTTGTAAAATACTCATATTTGATTCATATAAAAAAGCAAAACACTCAATTTTCAAACCTTGAAACCAAACTTGTTTTCTTTCTTTGAGATTCGGGATTTCAAAGTGTCAGGTAAATTTTATTACTATATTGCCAAAGAAGACTAAGATAAAGAGGGCCTTAATTTAGCTAGTGGTCAAGTAACCACCTTAAGACTTAGTTCACATGGGACCAAAGCAGGAATGTACTCTGTAATGTAAGAATTATCCTCCTTACTTGCATATTTTAATAATCCTCCTTTTTCTCAATGGATGTGGAGTCTTCCTCTGACAATTACTTTTATAGGTAATTTAAATTTCAGTAAAAGCTCAGTGATCTTTGTCTTGACCTTTTGAGAAAATGTTTATCCAGCATATGCTTGTTTTACTCAGTCAAAAATGGAAATTAAGCTTTTAAGAATGAAATTGTACCTGCGTTATTAAAAAAAAAAGTCTTAAAATTGGTTAGTTTGGAAGGATAATCAGGGTTTTTGGGAAAAACTACAGTCAGTCTTTTGAAGCTTTCACTTTTCTTTAGGATAAGATTACTCTTTTCTTCCATACACCAAAAGAATTTTACATTGACTAAAAGCACAGTTACAAGAAATCTGAATGTATAGTTCATAAACAGACGTCACAAAGATCAGGAGACCTCCTTCCATGGATATTGGTAAAGCTAAGCCAGCATCTGTTGTAAAACTGACTTTTAAAAGATTTCTACTACCAACACAAGGAAAGAAAAAGGGAATTATTTGGCTTCTGGAATTGATTGTGGGGCAGTAAAATCAAATGTAAATGTATTTTGAAAATTAATAGGTTATCTTAAATGCTCTTTACCTCATGAATTGCCAAGAGTATTATTCATTCACCTAAACAACAGCGTGAAGACATCTAGTGCTTTTCCTTTGAGTTTGCTTTCAATTCTCATGTATAAGAAATCTTTTTCTGTTCTTGCTGTGGTATCTAAGAATCATTGAATTTTTTGTTCTTGTGCTCTGTAATGATT